ATAAAGAACAGGATGACAAGATGCAAGCGCGATTAAACGTAGCATCTCTGTGCCCAAAAAGGGAGTGACTTCCTGGGTGTTCCAGAAGGAAGGTCGGCTGTGCTTGTGTAAATCAGACAAACTGTCTCTCATCGTGAATCGACTGATAGTTACATGATTGTATAAAACAGACTTGAAACAGCTCAGTTTGATGCTCGAGACAAGAGCTATCAAGGAAGATTCGCGTGGTAACACGATAAGCTTTTACTTGTCAGATCAACGTTCTATGGAACTGATAGGTTGAACAAGTCGAAACATTCATGCCAACAAGGGCAGACCCAACAGAAAGCTCATCTCAGCTCCTGATTGGTTGGGTAATTGTACAAGGAAGGCTCCTTGTACAATTACCCAACCAATCAGGAGGTAAGACAGAAGAAAACAAGCTTGGCCTAAGACTTTGCAGTTAGAAGCAATCAAGATGGATTGCTGTGTATCTCTAGTGATAATGTTAAATAAATAGTTTTAATTTGTGTTCAAGGAACAGTAAGGTTCTTGAAAAGACCGGAGCACAGATCGCACAATTTGACGTTTATTGATATGATAAAAAAATGCGTTCTTATTGACAACAGACAGGAAAAACGTATTTCCTCGTGACATTGGTTCATAAAATAAACTGTAAATTTTATTTCAAAGTAATATTTTTCAGATTACAGCATTACAAAATTATATAAAGAGAAAGGTACCTATCGTATAATATTTTGAGTGATTAGGTGTTTCGTACAGATTCATTACAGATAATGTAAATTATAAGTATGTATATATTCAAAACAGATAAATAAATTTTTGTACTTGTTTTCAGAAACAAAATTAAGCCATTCCATTGTAAAATAAAATATTTTTTCCTTTTATACACTTCAAAGAATACAATTGTACGCCCTATTTTTTAATAGCTTAAGCTCAACATCCAGACTAAAAAAGACACACTCTACAAACAAGCAAAAAGTGAATGTTTCTGAACATAAATGCAGAAGGAAACAAACGAGATAAACGAACAAACAGAAGTATAGAAATGACATTCCAGATGACAGCTGACAAGTCAAAAAACCTATCACAAACAACAAAAAACTTCAACAGTTTATGTTCACAGAGGAGAAGACCAATGCAATTTCAATAAATCCTCATTTGCAATCATATCTAATCTCACACATAACATCAATAGTAAATCAGATTAATGACGCTAAAGTGTTTTTCGCCAATTGCACACTAACAGGAGCTTTTGTCACATTCCAGGTGCAAAATGAAAACAAACAACTGGTGGAAAAGGAAATTTGAATTTTTCTAGTCTACACACACTGTGTATATAATATATCTGATAGTTCGTTCGATTTTGATTTTACATCAAAAGTCGTTAAGTTCAACTTCGTATTGCCTTAAAACTACAATTTAATTATTCCTGGATTATGTGGGGTCTGTGAGACGCCTAGTGACTGCATTTTTTTGGTTTATTTTTATCGAAATTTTTCAAATAGTTGTGAAAAATTCAAGTTTTTCAATTTCTACGAACTGNGGAAAACCCAGATCATGACATGCACTATCACTAACAAGTTAGAGCAGGAGGGCAGACGTGTTGCTATTGGTAAGAGATTATAAGGCCCTATTAAAACGTAATAGGAAAACATGGGCAAGAGAGAGGTTGTTAGCACAGAACTCAAGGGTTTTTTTTAGTTCTTTCTGCCATGTGGACACTAAGAGAGTTGTTTTTGCAAGCCCATTATGGGTACGGCCAGGCCAGACCCACAATGGGGTGGCCAGATGGTGAAAGACAGAGCCTGACCTATCTAAACAGACCACCCCCAAAAAATTTCTGGGGTTTTTTCGACCCGTTCGGATTCGAACCCGTATCCCCCAGAGTGGTTGACTGCCACCTTGATCACTCGGCCATCTGGCCGGTGAACTCAAGGGTTGTGGAGCATAACCGAACTCGTGATCTGGAAATGGAATCTTGCTTGAAGGCAGCAGAGAAGGCAGGCAATGACAGTCAGAAAAGAAAAAAAACACCAGCATCATCCACAAGTGAGGGACAGGAGTCTGGTTATAAGGAACAGGATGACAAGATGCAAGCGCGATTAAACGTAGCATCTCTGTGTTCAAAAAGGGAGTGACTTCCTGGGTGTTCCAGAAGGATAGTCGGCTGTGCTTGTGTAAATCAAACAAACTGTCTCTCATGATGAATTGACTGATAGTTACATGATTGTATAAAACAGGCTTGAAACAGCTCAGTTTGATGCTCGAGACAAGAGCTATCAAGAAAGATTCGAATGGTAACACGATAAGTCAAGCTTTTACTTGTCAGATCAACGTTCTATGGAACTGATTGGTTGAACAAGTCGAAACAGTCATGCCAACCAGAGCAGACCTGACAGAAAGCTCATCTCAGCTCCTAATTGGTTGGGTAATTGTACAAGGAAGGCTCCTTGTACAATTACCCAACCAATCAGGAGCTAAGACAGTAAGAAGAAAACAAGCTTGGCCTAAGACCTTGCAGTTACAAGCAATCAAGATGGATTGCTGTGTATCTCTACTGATAATGTTAAATAAATAGTCATAATTTGTGTTCAAGGAATAGTAAGGTGTTATTTTTGAAAAGACCGGAGCACAGATCGCACAATTTGACGTTTATTGATATGATAAAAATGCGTTCTTATTGACGACAGATAGGAAAAACATATCTCCTCGTGGCATTAGTTCATAAAATAAACTGTAAATTTTTATTTCAAAGTAATATTTTTCAAATTACAGCATTACAAAATTATATAAAAAGAAAGGTACCTATCGTAAAATATTTTGACTGATTAGGTGTTTTGTACAAATTCATTACAGATAATGTAAATCATAAATATGTATATATTCAAAACAGATAAATAAATTTTTGTACTTGTTTTGAGAAACAAAATGAAGCCATTCGATTTTAAAATAAAATACTTTTTTCCTTTTATACACTTCACACAAAGAACACAATTGTATGCTCTATATTTTAATAGCTTAACCTCAACATTCAGACTAAAAAAAGACACACTCTACAAACAAGCAAAATGTGAATGTTTCTGCACATAAAAGTCAAAAGGAAACAAATGATATTAACGAACAAACAGAAGTATAGAAATGACATTCCAGATAACAGCTGACAAGTCAAAAAACCTATCACAAACAACAAAAAAACTTCAACAGTTTATGTTCAGAGGAGAACATCAATGCAATTTCAATAAATCCTTATTTGCAATCGTATCTAATCTCACACATAACATCAATAGTAAATCAGATTAATGACTCAAAGTGTTTTTCGCCCCTTGCACACTAACAAGAGCTTTTGTCACATTCCAGATGCAAAATGAAAACAAACAACTGGTGAGAAAGGAAATTTGAATTTTTCTAGTCTAAACACACTGTGTATATAATATATCTGATAGTTCGTTCGATTTTGATTTTACATGAAAAGTCGTTACGTTCAACTTCGCATTGCCTTAAAACTACAATTTAATTATTCCTGGATTATGTGGGGTCTGTGAGACGCCTAGTGACTGCATTTTTTTGGTTTATTTTTATCGAAATTTTTCAAATAGTTGTGAAAAATTCAAGTTTTTCAATTTCTACGAACTGTGAAAAATGCGATAAATAACATTTCTATTCCACACCGAGTTTACACTAAAAAATTCGGAAAATGGCTGGCATCTTACAGTTATGCACGAAAAAAAGCGACGAAAAATAAAAAAAAACAATAATTTTGCAAATGTAAATTGTGCTAATTGTACAATTTTTGCTGTTTGCATAACAATTTCATTCAGGCATTGTTGTAAATGTATTTTTTAAATGAAATCGCGAGAATATTTTTAAGTATAAAAAACGAATTTACACATTCTACATCATATCGTAAATTGCCAAAAAATTTTAAGGTCCACTAAATATTTTTTCGATTGGTTTATTTTTCATATGGAAAAATTTCTGTTAATACCAATAAGCAAAAAATTTTGATGTATCCTGTAATATTTCGAGCGATGTTGATTTTGAAAATTATGTAAGCGATTTTTCAAAGATGTATGACATACATGCACGAAGTTTAATTAAAAAAATTAAAGTTAAGACATCTAAAAAATCTAGTTACTAAACATTCCTTGGAGAAAACTACAACAAAAACCTTATCATTTCAACAATTTACAACCGCGATGAAAGCTTTTGTTTGCTAAACAATAAAATAATTAGCGCTTTGTTGTCATTAGCAGTGGGGGTTATTGTGGTCTGTACTGATAAACTACTAAGAAAGTAATCAACATTCCCTAACTTGACGTTAAGAACGACAATATCCTACTTTTTACTACAAGAAACTTTATGTCAATATATAAAACTTGAAATAAGATACAACGTGGTGAAATTTGATATGTTCATTTTTTACGTTTTCGTATACCAAATTACATTAAATTAAACCTGAATAACGCATCTGTGTATATATTAAAGTACTTTATACTGCTTGAAAGTAGACAAAATAGAAAATACAAAAATGTAATGAAAATTTTTGATGTGGAGCCAAAAATTTTACAATTTGAAAATAAAAGAATGTTTTCTGTTCAGATGACAGATGAAAGGACTAAGGTGGGAAAGACGGGAAACATAGAAAAAAATTATCATGCATATAATAAATTGTACATATATCAACTTCAATTAGGCTACTATACTGTCAATCACCATTTCCAAAATGGAAAATGGTGCAGGAATATTGATGCTTAACTTAAACGAACTTTAAACGATTTATTTTATAAATTATTAATATGTCAAATGTCTATAAAATCAGTTACTGTTTTATTAAATTAATAATAAAAATTTTAAGAAGTTTCAAACTGTAATACAAAGAGATTAACAAAAATATAAAACATTTTCGAAAAATATATAACAATTCTCTACCAAAAAACCATATACTAAACTAATTTATATTAAAACTAAATAATTTTTAAAATTTGTTCTATTCTCACTTTTTGTCTATATTAGATGTTGCTTCGTCCATGACAAGAATCTTATTCTGGCGAAGTATTGTTCTGGCAAGACAAATTAACTGTCTTTCCCCTACACTGAAATTTCGTCCTCCTTCTGATAAATGTGTATCCAATCCTCCAGGCAACGTACTGATAACTTCTTTTAATTGCACCTTTAATTGAGATTTTTTTAAATAAATAGATGATAATTAAGTTTAGCCATTATAGAAAATTTAACAGATATGATTGCTGAAATGTAGTTAAAAAAAATTGTTTCTTTCTGACCTCTTCTATAGCTTGCCAAAGTTTTTCTTCTGAGTATTCATTGAAAGGATCGATATTTCTTCGATGTGGACCGGTAAATAACATTGGATCCTGTAAAATACACATGCTATTTTATTCGTTTTACATTTTTTGTATGAAATTTTATGCATTACAATTACGATAGTGGTGTATATTGAAACTTTTTTATTTTATTAATTGTTTTACAAGATGTTCGATGTGTTTACATTTAGTAAATTATCGATATTGTATTTAACGCTTTCCTTATTTTATTAACATATTTTAGACGTATTTCATTGTTATTAATTTCATTGTTAATAATCTTTGAATTATTTACATTTTTTTGTCGCACAGACATCTGTATTGAAGAATTCCAAATCTATTTGTTTCCTCATCGTTTTCGCTACACTTTCCGCCATTACGACAATCAAACTACACGTGACTAATGCACGTGACTACGAGTAACAGATCCTTGAGTTTTTATTGGTTGTAGTACGACAGAAGCGCAGGACGAAAACGGAAAAGTTAAATAATATTTAATTTTGCTTTCAGTCTTGTATCTGCCCAACTGAATGTTACAAAACTGAAAGTTTCGTCAGTTTGGCTTTCAGTTTTACGATCACGTCACGGATTCCGGTAATGTGGAGTCCAAGCTTAACTCTTTGCTAGTTGCATGGCATAGCACAGAAGTCGTAAAACTTATTTAATAGTCAATAATTCGTAAATTTTTGAATACATATAAATAAAACAAACTCTACTAAGCAAGGTTGCTTCGTCCATGACAAGAATTTTATTCTGGCGAAGTATTGTTCTGGCAAGACAAATTAACTGTCTTTCTCCTACGCTGAAATTTCGTCCTCCTTCTGATAAATGTGTTTCCAATCCTCCAGGCAACGTACTGATAAGTTCTTTTAATTGCACCTTTAATTGAGATTTTTTTAAATAAATAGATGATAATTAAGTTTAGTTATTATAGAAAATTCAACAGATATAGTTGCTGAAATGTAGTTGAAAAAAATTGTTTCTTTCTGACCTCTTCTATAGCTTGCCAAAGTTTTTCTTCTGAATATTCATTGAAAGGATCGATATTTCTTCGAAGTGGACCAGTAAATAACATTGGATCCTGAAAAATACACATGCTACTTTATTCGTTTTTTGTATGAAATTGTATGCTTTACAATTACGATAGTGGTGTATATTAAAACTTTTTTATTTTATTAATTGTTTTACAAGATGTTCGATGTGTTTACATTTAGTGAATTATAGATATTTTATTTAACGCTTTCCTTATTTTATTAACATATTTTAGGTGTATTTAAATTTCCAGAGATAGGGGAGATCAGGGCAAGATCGGCATGTTAAGCTTTACTTACATTTTGTGTAATAAATACTGCTGTAAACTGAAAAAAAAGCTTTGCATATTGTCTATTGGAATGTTACCTTACTATAGAACTGGTTAAAATCAGTTTGGAAATAAAAATAATTAAAATAATTACAACTTTACAAGAAGAGAGAAATTGACGAAGTTGCCCCGGGTATAGGGGCAAGATCGGCAACTTCTCTCTTTTTGTAAAGTTGTAATTATTTTAATTATTTTTATTAAAGTTGCCCCTGGTATAGGGGCAACAGTAATGGGGCAAGATAGGCACGTATATAAAATTATGTTATTAACAATGTATAAGTTGGAATTCACTATTAAAACAAAGAAATACAAATCCAACACCCATTTAATATTATTACAACGAAATGCAAGTTCAAAGACATATATACATGAATAACAAATGCAAACATGTTTTCATTTATCATCTGTTTGATTTTTATCCTTTGCTTCTAATGTGGCTTTATGTTGCCGATCTTACCCCGCTAGTCATGATTTCGAAACATTAAGTACAACCCTGAGAACAGAATGCCAAGCCACGATCTGGCCACGTGAATAAGTTGAAGTTACATCCTTCTAACAGGAAAAGTAACTTTCGTTATCATGGAATTATAACAAAACCTGCCAATTCAATATAAATGGAAAAAAAATATTATATGGAATTGAACGAAAATGAAAATTTGCTTGATAATTCAACTACGCTTGTTGGAGAACAATAAAAACACTACACTCAACAAGCCACCAATAAAACTCAACTGCCTAACCTATAACCAAAGTCTCCTTTTAATTTGTTTTTTAAAAAAAGCACTTGACAAACTTGCCCCGCATGCCGAAGTTGCCCCGATCTCCCCTACAAACTGATTGCCAACAAATTAATCAATTTACGTATAGTTTATATTCAATTTGTTATTTAACTAGTAATGAAATAAATGTTTTTTAATTTTGCTACAATGGGACAATAAGAATGCTGATTTCTTATATATGATGGATAAGAAATGGCTTTTGTATTATATTATTGTCAACTAATATAAGAATAATATATTAAAATAGTATAAAATAGAAACAAAAAGGCTATTGAATTAATTGTTTTGTACTTTTGGAATACTCAGTAAGTTATGCGCGATTACTTGTTTTAAAAACCGATGAACATTTTCTATCCGTTTATGCTATATGCTTACATTTTTTTATCGCACGCTTTAAAGCCTGGACTCCACATTACCTGAAAACAGAAATTCAAAAACAAAACTGAAACATATAGAGTTTTTTTTTCCGGTTATGTTTTCGCTTTAACTTGACTCCACTAGAAATTCGCCATCTGTTGATCAGTTCTGTAATTGTTGTGTAGTGAAACATGAACGACGCTACGGATTTTGCCATGCTTTCTCTGCATTCTTTGAATTATTTACATTTTTTGACGTACAGACATCTGTATTTTCTGACTTCTTCGATGAAGAATTCCAAATCTATTTGTTTCCTCATCGTTTTCGCTACACTTTCCGCCATTATGACAATCAAACTACACATGACTAATGCATGTGACTACGCGTCACAAATCCTTGCGTTTTTATTGGTTGCAGTACGACAGAATCGCGGGACGAATACCGAAAATTTAAATGATTTTTAACATTGCTTTTAGTCTTGTGTCTGTCCAACTGAACGTTACAAAACTGAAAGTTTCGTCAGTGTGGCTTTCACTTTTACAAAAGTTTTTGTCTTTCAGTTTTACGATTACGTCGCGGATTCCGGTAATGTGGAGTCCAAGCTTAACTCTTTGCTAGTTGCATGGCATAGCACAGAAGTCGTAAAACTTATTTAATAGTCAATAATTCGTAAATTTTTGAATACATATAAATAAAACAAACTCTACTAAGCAAGAGATAAGAAAAAGATGCTATGCATATAGCTTTGTTGTGAAATATATGCTAGTGCCACACATGCCATGCAAAATAGTGAATTTGAAAAAATTGAAATGAATTTCTAATCTAAAACCAAATTACTGCTAAAAATATCAATGTTAAAGAAATTTATCTTTACAGTAATATTATTTATTATATACTTTGCTCTTTCTTATTGTAAAGACTAATTTAAATACTACTCTAATGACCAAATGTGTTTATATTCATTTGAGAATGCGATTTTCAGGTTATGGCGTTGTTGTGTCAAGTTCTAGCTACAACAACATGCAAAATTTCAAGAATTTACATGTCAGCTGAGAATTATATCATTAAATTTTGTAATTTTTTAAATCTTACTTCAAAATTATATTTTTACATAATAAATCAAAGAAAGCACATTTTTAAAATAAATATATAAAACAATTGACAAATAAACAGTTTTTTTCATCAAATTAATTATTATATACTTGAGGAATGATGGATATTTTACTGCGTAGATCCCGAAGACCAATATCTTTTGTGACAATTCCATCGATGGTTATTGTTCCTGATGGCTCTGTCATGCGAAATAACGAAGCAATTATAGAACTTTTTCCTGCTTCTGTTCTCCCAACAATTCCTATCTGCGATTCAAAAACAATTAATACATATTCAGACAGTAATTTTTAGAACAACACTCATTAGATTTCATATTATTTTACCTTTTCTCCGGAATTAATAGTAAAGGTTAAATTTTTCAGAATAGTATATTTATCCTTGGAGTATTGTAAAGAAACATTATCAAAATAAATTTCGCCTTTTTGTGGCCAATCTGCAGGTGGTTGTTTATCAGGAGAACTTTCGTATGATGCTTCCAGTTTTAATTTGCTGTAGTTCAGTATACGTTTTACAGAATTCATCTGAAAAATTGATTTCTTTTGTAATATCAAAATGCACGAAATTAATTCAAGTAACACTATATATTATCTACAGTTATAATAAATGTGTAGAATTTCATAAAACTAATGATAGAAGTATTTTGTATGAAGATACTCAGTTACATGAATCATATTTAGTTTTTTCATTTTTTTTATATTACATTTTATTTTTATTAAGTTACTCTAATTTTCAGGTACTGATATGCAATTAAATTCATTTTATTTTCTATAAATATGTATACTTTAATTGAAAAATTTATATCCTCTTCAAAATTAGAAATATTTTTCATTGTTTTTAAGTGAAAATGTACTTAAACATTATTATGTAACAGAAAATGTAATTTAGTAAAATTTAAAAATAATATTAATTTTTTACCTATAACTTTAAATGTTGTATACTGTATTTTAGTATTTTAATACATATGTTTGAAATTACGAGTTTCACTGAAATTTTAAAATCAATTATAAAATAATTATGTACTGAAAATTCAATATTGTTGATACGGAAATACAGTAAAGCGTTGATTATCCGAAAGCCGATTATCCGAAAGAAATCCAGTAGGCAAATTTAAATTTTCGCCAGTGCTGTGGCACTGCAATCTTTGGCAATGTCTTGGGCTACTCAAATATTTTACGTTTTTGATACTAAATTAAATTCTGAAATATAAGTTTTTATTGTTTTTATATTTTTCAATATATTTGTTTTGTTCGTACAAAATAAAAAAATTATTTTTAACGATACAATAGTCTTCGTTAGACTTAACATCGACAAAAATTAAACGCGAAGCGACACGCAACAAAGAAAATTTTCAACATGGGATAGGCTAATATTTTTTCATATTTAATCGGTTATACGAAATATCGATTTTACGAACAACCCCAGTCCTCAATTGATTCGGATAATCGACGCTCTACTGTATTGCATTTTAAGAAACATTTTATATACTAAATGTCTAATGGCATTTTAAAATAAATTATATTTTAAATTTAGAAATAAAACCAAATTTCAATATGAAGCTTTATTCCCATAAATTTTAATTTGTTACATGCAAATTGTGAAATATATTTTAATAATTATATTATCTCTATTAAGATTTTCCAAGAAATATCATATTGTCTGACAGAGACTTTAAACCTAACATTAGGCGAACTGCTAAAAGACTTATTTACTTCCAAGAAACATAATTTTCTTTATATGTAAAATAAATATAATATTGGCGCATACATAATTTTATAACGTAACTTGAAATTTTGTAATAATTTTTAAAATATTATTCATTTTGAGTAATAGATTAGATTCTAAATAAAAAAAAAATAACTGTTACACTGAAAATAAAACACTGTAAAAACACTGTCATTACATTTTTGCACACATGAAGCTAAACGGAATCGAAGTTGTAAAGTATTGGCTTGTAAACAGAAAGAGAACGAAAAATGCGCTGACCATGCTAATTGGATTTAAGGGTGGTCCGGTCATAAACTGTTTCCAGGTGGTAAATACCTGACAGTAAAGAAGTGGGTGACTACCCACATCAGGTATTGGCGAATGCGAAAAGTAAGCTCAATCCATATCCGAGTCAAGTGGAACTGGGTGAAAGCTGTTTGCAAGAAAAAGCTGTCATTTGTAGGAAATTCCCGTTTAAACAGTTTTAAAATTGGAGAGCGAGCAAGATTGAAGTGGAAAAAAGCTGTTGACTGGTAGCACGAAAGTCTCAGACACTTGAAAAGCTCGCTGAAGTTAGAGAGAAAGTGTAACTGAGCATTCTCCTCTGCAGGATATCCCATGGACAGGAAAGTGCTAAGACTGGACGAACCGTACAGGTAGAGCCAATTTAATGACTGACCAAGGCCTCACAACAACTCAATCGTTCCAAAAATCCAAACTGAAACATGAGCCATCACGCTTTGTACTCCCTATGGTTACAACTTAAATAGTTTGTATAAATTTGTAAATAAAGTGTATATACTTTATTTACAAATTCCTGGAAATCGAAACGAAGGACATCAACGTGTTGGAGAATGTGATTTAATACGAATTTTAATTGAAAACAAGACAGCAATACAATGTTTTCGACGGATAAACGCACTTATTTATCAGAATGGTGGGGGAACGACGTTAGAATGAATTCGCTGATGGCAGAATTCCGCCCCAAACATATTAATCCATTCGGATATCAAGAAAAAATGATGTTCTGGGAAGAAAGCCTTATAAAATGGTGCAAGCATTGTAAAAAAGTAATGTTTACTCACGCAGAAGTTTGTGCAGCGTTCGAAAGAAAAGGACGTCAACCTGAATGTTTACAAACTGTAATTCAAGAAATGATAAATGACGGGAAACTTATTACCGAAGAACAGTTTTTATCTTCTCAAAGCATTAGAAGATAATGCTTTGAGAAAAACCTCAAAAACCTTGCCGCTATTTTGAGCGGCAAGGTTTATCCACCGAACCTACATTAGAACAATTTCGAGTCGTTTTTAATTCACTAAACCAACTCTCAGATGAGGAGTCTAGAAAGGAAACTTCACTGGTTAATCTGAATTAACTAGTTGATTAGAAAACGTATTTCATATATTTTTGCCAAAAACGTTTTGATCATAACAACTTACACTGGTTTCGAATGTTAAACATAAATGTAATTAGTACACATATATTGAAAAATAACTAAGTAAATTAGTTTTTGCTAAAATGAAAAATAAACATTATTCATTACAATATACAGTTGCTATATGATCATACTATCTGTTACCCGCAACTTCGCCCGCGGAAGTTTTGCAAGCAAACCCTATTTATATTTTGTATTTCAATAACCATAGTAACTGTTATGTAACACTCACCACTGAGAATGATGAAAATTTCCGAGAATCAAACAAAATGTTTTCAATTTGATGAATTTTCTGGAACGTTTACAATCGTTCTATAATCGAACCAACATGCAATGACAAATTCGAATTTAAAACAGTTCGAACATTTGGTTAAAGAATCGAAATATATAAATATATTTATAACAATGTCTGAAATAAAATGCTCTCCCTCACTGGAAAATTCCGACAAATCCCTTCTTAGTGTGCATTCCCATGGCATACCCTACTAAAACGCAGTTAGAAACAAAAAATCGCATCTAAAATAGTACAATAAAAGCCATTTTTCCGGTTAATCCTTAATGCTCTCCCTCTCAACCGCTGGGGAATTCCGACAAATCCCTTCTTAGTGTGCGTTTTCATGACGTACCCTAACTATGTACCAAATTTCACCTCTAGGTTCAGCGGTTTGCTAAGGGCGATGATGAATCATTGAGTCAGACAGGACAAGCAATTGTATATACTGTATATAGATTAATAAGTACAATTGCAGCTGCATATAACTGAGAAAAAATGCGCAGCTATACCCATCTACAGTAATGCAAACGATGTCTATGCCTTGGTGCACAATTAGGTTAAACCTGGAAGCATTCAGTATATAAATTCCAAGCATATCGCAAAGATGATATGCTAGAGAAATGACTACCCCACGTAACTTCTCAGAGAAAACAGAAAAGAATTATACTGGTTTCTAAATTATACATGCACATAACAGAAATGTTAACATTGAATAGACAATCGAAGTAAATGTACATCATTACCTGAAAATTCACTTCACATGGATATTTAATAAGGAGGGGAAAATACAAAACAAATAATACTCCATAACTCATAACGAGTCCAAGTTGGCTTCCTGCATCATCTAAAGTAGCGATTATAAATTCAAAATTACGTATATTATACACTACACACAACTAAATGTATATACTTACCTGGGTAAATCGATAAAATGAAAATAATAACAGTAATAAGTACATTTATGTAACAGATGATGTGACCATACATAGAAAGGCATTGNTTTATAAAATTAATGAAATAAAGTAAAATTTTAACGTTAAAACTGACACAGTTTTCACCATTTTTGAAAAACGGAATTAAAGCTTTCTTCTAAACGAAATCTTATCACACCTTTCCAATAATCTTATCACACATCTCTGAAAAACATCTGTCATCTGAGTCAGGATAAAATACCTGTCTGATGATAAAATATGTCTTCAGGTGTTATAAAACCAGAAACCTAATTGGAGGAAATCTGAGATATGAGTTCCAAGCATATGGCAAGGATAATACACTAGAGAAAGGACTACCCCATGTAATTTTCCAGAGAAAACAAAAAAATAATATACCAGATTTCTAAATTATACATGCACATAACAGGAAGGTTAACATTGAATACACTATCGAATTAAATGTGTATGTATTACCTGAAAATTTACTTCAGATGAATATCTAATAAGGAGGGGAAAGTACAAAACAAATAATACTCCATAACTCATAACGAGTCCAATTTGGCTTCCTGCATCATCTAAAGTTGCAATTATAAACTCAAAATTACTGATATTATACACTATAAACAACTAAATATACCCACCTGGATAAATCGATAAAATGAAAATAATAACAGTAATAAGTACATTTATGTAACAGATGATGTAACCATATACAGAAAGGCATCGATTTAATGCGAGGTAAACAATCCACGTTGCAGTGTGCTTATCCTGATACTTACTAAAAGTGGATTTAAATTTATGTTCAGCTTTAAATGCTCTAATTGTTGTCAGTCCATAAAGAGATACACTGAGATGAGAAAATACTGGACTTCTTGCTGTTAAAAGAAATTCTATATAAAATTTAATTATTTGAGTGAAACCTTATTAAATATAACAACTGTTTGCATAGTGTATTTAAAAAAGCAAATGATTAGCAATTCTCTACTTAAATTACATAACACCCTTATGCACAAAGTTTTAAATTTACACTGAGATGAGAAAATACTGGACTTCTTGCTGTTAAAAGAAATTCTATATAAAATTTAATTATTTGAGTGAAACCTTATTAAATATAATAACTGTTTGCATAGTGTATTTAAAAAAGCAAATTAATAGCAATTCTCTACTTAAATTATATAAAACCGTCATGCAAAAAGTTTAAAATTTGCATTTTTTTTCATTTTTTAATAATATACAAGTCCATCCTAAGGATAGAAACAAAACGCTCTAATTGTTGTCAGTCCATAAAGAGATACACTGAGATGAGAAAATACTGGACTTCTTGCTGTTAAAAGAAATTCTATATAAAATTTAATTATTTGAGTGAAACCTTATTAAATATAATAACTGTTTGCATAGTGTATTTAAAAAAGCAAATTAATAGCAATTCTCTACTTAAATTATATAAAACCGTCATGCAAAAAGTTTAAAATTTGCATTTTTTTTCATTTTTTAATAATATACAAGTGAATTAATATAAATTTGTAAAAAGTTTAAATATATAAAATCGTATATTATATATAATGTATACATGCTTACATTATATACATATGATATATATAATCATATATCTCAGAAGCAACTGATCACGACTGTATGTAATATAGCACAAATAGAACATTGCAAACTTTCTGCCAAAAAAGTAAAACGTTGATTGTTAAGTTTTATCAAAAGGAAAACACAACAAAGTGCTAAACACGCTTTTCAATTTTTCGCAGAAAAAATGTGCAATTAATTATGTCTTGCGTTTTGTGTGCACATGTACCATTGCAATTGTTTATTATATTTTCAAACTGCTGTTAAAATAAAGTACGTTCGAACTGTATCGTATAATTAAAGAATGCAAAGTAATGAGTTGTAAAAGAGTTTCATGTTATTCAGTTAAATACAACAAACTATTGAGAATTTTATATACTTACATTTTCCTTCCATAAGTTTTATGCCTTTCAGTACACGGCTGTGAATCGTCGATATAGCATAAAATACTATTAAAAGCAACAATATCAATATGAGAACGTAAGGACATAGGATTGCTTCAAGAACACATATTCCAGCGATCAGAAAAAATGCCTAAAACATAAGAATTAAGAATGCTAATAAATGAAAACGTATTTATTATTTTAGTATGCTACAAATTATTTGAATTATTACTATTCATATGTAAATCAACATTATATCTAAGGAAATATCTATTCATATTAGTATTTTAATGAAAATTTATTGCAACACGCGTGAATTCCATCATTATTCAAATGTCACACGTAGTTTTAAAGTTTCTCTCCAAAATTTATTTATAATACAGTATTAATAATTTATTATATGTTGTGACTATGTGCAATAACACAGACAAAGGGTGAGACTGTGAACAATACATTTATTGTCCAATCAGGATCGGTTACACGGTTAACATCGAGACAACAATACAACTATGGGAGACAATGGTCCAACTACTCTCTCCTTACATGACTGACTACTAACTCTCCTTCTCATTGTTGAGGGGCGCTGTTTTCACCGCATCCCTCACATCCTCCCTACCTTGGACCTGTGCTTCTAGTGGTGCTTCTAGTCTAATTGAATGTGGCAGCTCATGTGGCATTCCATCAGGGAGTCTTAAATGGAATATCTCAATGCAACCATTGCAGCCAGCAATCAGCTCTTCGATCACAGCTGTTCTCCACATATGGCTAGGCAGCGAGTCCTCCTTATGAAGACCAAGAACTCCTTTGTGGAGTGAGGGCAGTTTCATCCTGACCCCGTGAACATGATTAGAGCTTTGTATATCAATCAGATATTCTTTTTGCAATCATCTCTAGAAGCTCTCGGTGATTGACTGTTGGTGACGCCACTGTTTCACGAAGTCATAAGGTGAGAAATGGTTGTTTGGCTCTGGAAGGTTAGTAATTCATTTTACTACCAAAAAATGAGAGGATGTGAGGGCCTTAGACTCTTCCGTGTCATAGTTGTGTATCAGAGGCCTGCTGTTGAGGGTGGCTTCTAATCCGATGAGTATGGAAGACATCTGTTCTGCATTTACTAGGAATTTCCCCAGTATCTTGTGGAGGCATCTCTTCATACTCCCCACCATTTTCTGCCACCATCCTCTCCATCAAGACTCCTTCGCCACATTGAAGACTCAAGTGATGCTATGGTGGGTAAAGTAGTGGGCAATCTGCTTATCGGAGAGCGTTTTCAATAGATCCTGTAGTTCTTTGTTGACTGCATGCACAATCTGACGAGGTAGAGTGGTGAAGACAGCTCTAGATGTACAGCTTGGGTTGTGTCACAGGTGAACAGTGGAATGTACGTTTTCTCTATCGACTGACCTTTTCGAATATACAACGAGCTGGCAAAGTCTATTCCTACTCTATACGATGTGTATACGATGAGTGTAATACATGATCAGTAAGGAGGGAGGCTTCAGTTTCTTGATAAGTCTGACTTCTTAGGCACAGTAGACATCTATGCAGAACTGTCTTAATCACTTGTGAGCTTGCAATATTCAGAATTCTTCTCTCAGGTTTGCGAGTACCACACAAGTGCTCAGGTGCCTGAGACGTAAATGGTAGTCCTTGATAAGGAGACAGGTACAGTTGTGTCAGCCATCTATTTATAGTAGAATTGGATGCTGCATGGGAGTGTGGGCATCTGCAAACTGCAGACGGCTTCCTACTCTTAGTATCTCATTACACAGGAACAGGTAAAAGCAGTAAATGGGTGCTTTTTCTGATATGAGTGTACCGGAGTTAAGTGCTATTAAATCGTAAACAAAATATGTCTTCTGGACTGCTCTGATACAGTGTCTCTCACTGACTTTACTTCATCTGCTGAGAGATCTCTGCCCAGTGATTATTCTGTGGATGTGTTTTACGAAGCATAATGAAGCTGAGGATCCAGGCTGTTACTCGAAGGCGTGTGCAGTTTCTGAAGCAAGATGCATCTAGCAACTCAATATGGGCTGTAGTGTACAGGATGACCACTTGTTTGCATTCTTCTGGAGCATAATCTGAAGATGTAGAGTGGTCATTCACAGGCCAATATTCTTCTGTTTGTGATAAAAATTGGGGACCCTGTCATTAAAACGTGCAACTGCAGAAATGTTTCACCATCAGGCCTTGGAACAGGTGATCAGCTGGGTTCTCTGTTCCAGAACAATGAATACACAGATTTGGGTTTGTGATGCTTTGAATCTCTGTCACTGAGTTCTGCACAAATTACTTTCATCAATTGGGGTATCCACAGATCCAACCCAAGATCATTTTGGCATCACTCCAAAGGACTGCTCCTTCTCTTTAAAGGTTGGTTTCAGTAGTAACGTTTTTTAGTAGGCGACAACCCAGTAAGGCTGCAAGTAACTAGCCGAGGTAAGGTAACTGTTTTGATGGAAGATACACATGCTTTGCTGCAGAGAACATATGTAGAGGTGCCTGATGGAAGATTGGTACGAATGTATCTATGCTTTCTTGCAAAATGTAAATTTAGCAAGAAAGCATAACATCGGGAAATAAGAATTTCTTTGCTAAATGTAAATTTAAACTTGTTGTTTTGATCCATCTTAGTATAGACACAAATGACAAGTGTTGTAGGTCCTCTAGCCACTGTTGCCAACGAGTTGAGATATCTGCTGGCAAAACTTTAGAATAACAATATTTTTGAGTGCGTACACAATAAATTACTTGCAAACTCAACTAACAAAGGAGGAAGATTGTCTGAGCTGAATGTCTTAGTCAGCCATAATTTTTTTGCAATTATATGAAAAACAATAAATTATTACAATCAACTTTATACAGAAAATTACTGATCTGAGATTATACAACTTAGATACATAATATGAAATAATAAATGTTGACAGTTCTGTAAACAGCAATATACATTCTTTATCATCCTATCTGCTGTAGTAAATTAATAACCAGTGTTGCGGTCTTAATATATCGAGAACACACAGTAATTTTGAGTTTTTATTGCCAAAAAATTTCAATTACTAATTTTTAAAAACTTTTATGCGTTGTGCAAGCTAAGTTAGCATAAGATTTACTGTATATAGATTCGTTCATGGCCATAAGTAATCAGTTAGCTTTTCTAAAACAAATAAAGTACGTTTTGACTCTTTTCCCTCTATTTACAATAAAAGGGCTTTTCTTACTGTTTTTGTTCTGAAAAGTTCTGGGAATTATCGAGTTCTCTGCAATTGATCTCAGGTTCCCAAAAGAATTATTTTTATACCCTAACTGTCTCAGCTGTCAGTCAAAATATCTGTATGTAAAAAATATATGATGATAATTATTTTTTACAAATATTGGCACATACATACAAAAGATGTCTGATTAATAAGTTATGTTTGCTCAGTACATAGCTAATGTACTGAGCGTACATGTGCGTGTTTTATCCTGATCAGTGCATCAGAATAAAACACGTATATGCTGTAAAAACACAATTGCACTAAATATTTAAAAATTATCACTGTTGTGATTTTACAGTACATGTGTAGGGACAGCTGCAATATATTGAAGCTGTCCCTACACATGCTATGAAATATATATATATTTCCATATCTAATCTACACTATGTTTTAGTTAGATATGGAAATGTGAATCCAACCAAACTTGCTGAGAAGTTAATGAAAATGCATGTTGACAAAAAAATAAATTACCATGCAACAATTTAATTAAAAACTAATAACTAAATTGATGTCAAGCTTCACAAACGCGAACAGAAGATTCTTGTTTATTAAAATTTCAGACTAATCACGATTATTTCCATTGTGCATTTGTTTAATTAAATAAAAAAGTTGATATTGATGAATCAGATCAGATTGAAGCTCAAGAAGATACGCAATACAGTAGACCCTCCCTATAAAACTGTAGATACGTTCCGTGTTTTATGAAATTTATGTTGTACGAGCCCTTAAACACATGAGCCAATTACAGCCCAGCATGTCTACAGTTTAGGGACTACGGCTGTTTGAAAGGTTTTCTTCCATAAAATTAATCAATTCTAGACTAATTTGACTCAACATTTCCAAAATTTTGGGAATAATCCTTAAAAACTATGCTATAAACAAAAAATTGTAGGATTACTTATCGAGTGTGCACAGTTCGACGACGCCATTGATTAAGCTCGTTTTCGTCGTGGAGCGGCGCATCGAACGGCGGGGACGTGTTTCCTAATAAATTAATTTTCTGCGAAAAATTTGCTGAACATTGTTAATAATGATCCCAAAGACATTATTAATATCCGCTATTGGTCTAGATTCGACCAATCCTGTCGCGACACGAGTCGGCGATGACGTTTTACCGTATCATACGAGTCTCTTTTAGCGTGTTTATACGAATACGATCACAATTTTTCTCCGTTATATACGAATCCATATTATATGAATCCGTTATATAGAGGGGTCTACTATACTTATAAATTTGGAATAGGCTGTACATGAGAAAATTATACAAAATATTTTTTATGGTTCAAATCAGTACATTCATAATTAGGACAAAAGTATTGCATGCTTTATTTGTTGCATTTCACGTTGCTGTTACAAAACATATTGAATGTATTTCATAAATACTTATTAGTAACTACATATTCGACATACATTTTTATCTTTTCAATTTATTTTATACAAATTTAAATATACGAAATTATGTAAACTTACTTTTAACGCAACGTTATAGTTGATAGGTAAAAAGTCATCCGAGTTATTTACGTCTTTGGAAAACCGATTTAAAATTTTTCCTATAATATATTAAAATATGATATATCATTTAAATTAAAAACTTATGTAAATATATATATTCCATTATCATTAATTATAAGATATCGCATATACCTAACAGTATATCTGTATGATTGACTGACAGTTCTGAAACTGACATGCTCTTGGTTTTTCATACCCAAAGTTTTTGTACAATATACATATTTACCTTATCAAAATGTATAAGTAGAGCAATTTAATATATTTGAGCTGTTGTTCTGTAAATATGCTTATAAAAACGAAATGCAGTAGAATGTTTAACATATCTTCTGAATAGTATTTCACAAGATTTTAGCAAAAATGTTCATAAAAGTGCCTTTCTTCAACTTTTCCTGCTTCAATTTTCGACTCTACTTGTGTATGACATCTCATTTCTGAAAATTGATTTTATTCTTATTGTGAATTTCTGTATCTTTATACAAATTACAAATATGTTTTTATTACTCTCTGCTTTTTCATATTTTAACAGAAAAAAATAAGTATTGTGTATATTCTTTACAGCCAAACTACATTCTTGATGATTGTTTTTTCTTTTTACTCGTTGGGCACTAAGAAAGTCTCTTATAGCAGGCCCATTGTAGGTTTGGCCAGGCCAACACCAAGGTGACCGTGTGATGAGGGACGAAGTTTGACATATCCGAACAGACAACCCCCAAAGATTTCCTGGGGATTCATGACCCATCTGGATTCGATCCCAGGTCTCCCAGAGCAGCAGGCTGACACCTTGACCGCTCGGCGATACGGCCTCACTCTTGGTGATTGCAAAACAATACTGTATATTAACACTTCTACATCTTATTTATCTAATTTACTATTTATTACTTTATTAGTTAAGTAGAAAGCACTTCTTTTTCAAAAGCAAAATTTTCATAACGTATATTAAAAATCTAACAAATTCAATATCTCTCGAACTTTTGGAATTGCAGTTCATTGACTTTGCATTGTGTGTTTATTTTTAGACTGAAAAATCCATAAGAAAATCAGTGTTATGTTAGCACTTGTCAAACATAATTACCATGATTTTTCAACGTCTATATTGAACATATCAATACATTAATAATATCTGTTATTCTATGCACTATCCTAAATATAGTACACCTGTACCTCTAAAACTGAACACAAAACCCGAATCTGTCGTCGAAGCATACTATTGGTCCGTGTTTCAAAAAAGTCCCACGATCAGTTAGACAGGCAATCGAATCAAACAGACCAGAGTTATCCCAAGGCTTTTTCTAATCTGTCGCCCACGGCGGGTCGCAACCCGCAACACATCCAGTACCCGTTGGAAACGGAAAACTACATTTCGATACTTTCAAGTATGCTTCACCGTCAATCGGGCTTATTCATTGCAGACATCCGTATTACTGACATTAATTGACGGTCACAAAACAATCATTCCGGACAGCTGCACTAACGAAATTTCATTAAATCTTTTTAATATTTTTTTGAAAATCATCTCATATCCGAATTTGCATTGAGCATTCTTAAACTTATTAAAGAATGAAATCCATAATTATACATACCAACAGGATTGTTATCCAAAAATGAAATCGGAGTTCGAATAATACAATGGAACATATTGTTGTGCAGCTGAAAAGATGCAGCGATGAAAAAATTATACAATAATAATACAGATATCATCATTGTAAAGAACACTGCACATATTAGTCCGAAGTAAACATAAACATTATATTCTTCACTATAATATAAAATTTTGGGTTCACTATTGTTAAACATTGTCGACTTAAACGTCATATTTTCAACATTATTTACATTTTCTGTATGGAGCCGTTTGTTATTTAACCTGAAAATTAAACACAATGTAAAAATTAATTTTTTGATTAACCTAACATTTCTACAGCATGCACGAATACAATATAACTACTTAAATCCGTTCAATAAGAACTTTACCGAACAGTATTGTTAAAACATAAAAGATGGTCAATTGGTAGTAAATATTGCTAAATGCATAGAATGATTTCAGTGCAAATTTAAGCTACATTCTCATAATTTATTCTTCGATGAAAAGTCTGAACATTATTGCTATCATTACAACTGATGCTTTTCTAGATCAACTTCACTGGAAACATTTGTAAATATCAGCAATGCTGACATTCTGTGATTTTGCTTAGAAAGCACACATTAAACTCTAATACTATAAAGCTTAAGCCAGAAACAAGATCATGTCAAGATGATTTTGTTTCAGATATCTTTATATAATGTTCTTACTGCACACTCCAAATCTCAATGAAGAAATATAGCCAATACGCTATTATTACTGATGTAATTTAAAAAGAAATATTTAAAATATTTTCATAAAAGCATGGTTTGTCTAGAAAATATTTTAAATATAGTTTGAATTTTTTCCTGACTTTCATTATAAAATAAAAAAAAATTTACGTTATCTAATTACTACATTAAACGAATTAATTCGAATTTATTTAAAATAAGTTAAACTATGTTTTCTTTTCTTGAAAACTTTTTTGATTAGGATTGGTATGTTTGTATTAGACAACACTTTTTGAATCTGCTGATATAAGATGCCTCTCAGGTGCCTTTCTACAGAGAACTAGCCTCGATTCTGGTGTTTAGCAGTGTTAAAAAAACACAAAAAAATGCCATGTGGCCAGGCTGTTGTTTAAGCACAAACTGATAACCATCTACTAGTGTTTCACAGGTTTTATCCACTCAGCCTCTGTTGCACTATAAATTTTGTTCAGACTTTTCTTTTGAATGCTCGGAATTATGATGCGCTTGTCAGATCAACGTTTTTACCAATGTTCTAGTTATCTGTCTCACTGACAAAAACAGTGTTGAATGAAAATTGTTGATACACAAACCCCGCACGGGTTTCAAAACAGGATGTAAATGATTCATGAGCTGTTGGAAAAACAAACTTTTTGCTTACATTAAGTGAAAGACTTTCTTCAAACGAAGAATTGAATGAAACAGTAAAAAAAAGATTGCGGCAGGAAGACAGTTTGCTTCCATATAAAAAATGCGATGAAGATGTTACAAAACTTTTTCTACAACTCTCAATTTATTCCAAAACAGCATTATCAAGAAAATAACAGCGATTGTTTAAACGATTGTTTCTGTAAAAGATTGTATAGTTTTTCTTTCAATCCAGATGACCCTTTGGGAGCATCTGGATTGAAAAAAAAGTAAATCGACAGAATCGTAATGATTGCTTGAAATTTCGAGCCAATTTTATTCTGTAGGACTAATGGACGATTTTCTCATTTAGCAACAGATAAAGGATAAAAAGAAATGTTTTGCTTAACATAAAAGCTAAGTACTGTATGATTTGACAGTAGGGGATAAACATGCTGTTTCAAAGTGTTACTGGACACAGAATAAAACATGAAAAGTCGTATTTGGACAATACAAAACCACTAACGATCTTATTAAATAATGATATCAAGCATCAATAAGACGATGCGCAGGAAACATGCATGAAGACAGTTTTAAAAACTAAAGAAAATTTTGCATTGTTTACATTACCTGATCTTCAAAATTAATCCGATTTTTCTAAACTTTTTATATTAGCTAATGATTTCGTTATTGAAGTGATAAGTGCTATCCTATCTCAGAAAGGTTAAAGGAGAAAACTCTAATTGCAAATACTAGTAAAATGTTGTAAATGCCTAAAAAAACTATCGTACAAGAGAAAATAATGGTGTCTATAGTTTGCACACTAAAGCGTTTTAGTTTTTATCTGTATGGCAAAAATGTTATCATAAGGAATAAAGGTTTTGTTTCAAAAGAAACTTCCAAAATGCGTTTTCAAAAATCATCCACTAACTACAGTTATTTATCTCCACACGAATTAATTGTAAATTCTCTCTGGCAACGATAAGTGCCTTTGATATGTTTACCTACTAATAGTTTTTGTCTTTATCTGTCAACAATTTTTGTAAAGTAAATCGTAGCGTTGCTTCTTTATAATTACTAAATCCGAGTGAGTTACTTTCGAGTTCTTTGTCTTTCTTATTTTTCACTCATTCCTCATTTCTGATTCCCCTATATTTTCTATACAGGGAATCAGATATCACTCACGCCAGTCTTTCGATTTACAACTGGTGTCACAATACCAAAACTTAAACACCTACAATTCTCGTTAAAGTCAGTTTTTGTAGGTGAGACAGATAACAAAATTATTGTCAAAATGTGGGTACATAAAGCTCACACCATTTCGAAATGAAAGTATTAGGTTTATCCGTTTCAACACGTAAAGCTTGTTAGATAAACCTTATTATGCCTAAAACGTATTATGCTGAAATACATGTAATATAAATTATGTAATGTTATTTCATTAAACTGATATTTAAAAACCGTTTACATGAATAAACGCATATTTGTCATAAAAATAGCATACCATTTGACAAGCCAATAGTCGCTGAAAGTTGCAACGGATTGTGCTACAACTAGAATTAGTAATAAGAATATCTTGAAGAGAAAACCTGACCCAGCATAAAAATATTCTTTATAGACTGAAATTCCTATTGTTCCAACTTCATCCTCACATGATATATTCTTATTTTCATTTTCCTAAAAAAATATTTTAAAATTATATACAACACTTGTAAAATTATATTTATATCTATTAAAAAATATTTTAATATGTATTATACAAATAAATAATTCAATGCGTCATTTTTCCATTAAAGTGAAAATTAGATTTGTACACAAATTAAAAGACTATTCAGTATTTTCTTGAATATTTGTGAATTAAATTCTATAGAAATAATGTGAAAGAAGAAAAAGGATAAATCATAAAAAAATTCATTACAATAAAATATAATCACTGTCAATCAAATAAAAAAAACAAGGATTAAGTATTTTTCAGCACAACTACTGATGAACTCATATCAAATTCACTTGTAAAATCACTCCATACTGTGAAAAAATTTGCCAGTAAAAAATAATTCAATGTGTCATTTTTTCATTAAAGTGAGAATTAGATTTGTACACAAATTAAAAGAGTATTTAGTATTTTCTTGAATATTTGTGAATTAAATTCTATAGAAATAATGTGAAAGAAGAAAAAGGAAAAATCATAAAAAATTCATTACAATAAAATATAATTACTGTCAATCGAATAAAAAAACAAGGATTAAGTATTTTTCAGCACAACTACTGATGAACTCATATCAAATTCACTTGTAAAATCACTCCATACTGTGAAAAAATTTGCCAGTAAAAAATAATATAATATAATAATAATAACTCTTATATTAAAGAAATAATAATAAAAATATTGTTATTTGTTAGCGAATCTCATCTAAAGCATTCTAAAGTTAGGCGTCGATTTGGATGTTCACATCTTCACATATCCTCGAACATTCCATTAACGTACAGAAAGTCCTTTATTTTGATTGGAAAAACATGTTCAAATGTAGAGAATGATTTCCTGCGATTCCAAGAGAGAAGTTGAAACAATTCTTCCAAGAGAGAAGTCGCACTCAATACAACACGAGACGAAGTTCTCACGAAACCTCCATGGTGTGCAGATCTCATATAAGGGTTTCGGCCACATAAACTAGACCTTTAATGAAGATGCTTCAAGCCCACATATTTACAAGCACTAAGCGGCCATAGAAAAGACTCCTTGCCATATGTATACAGTAGAGCGTCGATTTTCCGAATCAATTGGGGACCGGGGTTGTCCGGATAACTGATATTTCGGATAACTGATTTACGTACGAAAAAGTAGTTTAACGTATCTGATGTCGAAATTTTTCTCCGTTGCGTGTCGCTTGGCGTTGAATTTTCGTCGATGTTAAGCCTAACAAAGACTATTGTATCGTTAAAAATTAATTTTTTATTTTGTACAAACAAAATAAATATATTGAAAAATATAAAAATAATAAAAAATTATACTTCAGATGTTAATTTAGTATCAAAAACGTAAAATATTTGAGTAGCCCAAGACATAGC